TCTTAAAGCAGGACTCTAAAGCAGAATTAAACATACAGCTAAAGTTAAAATGAATTGGTTTAAATGTTGGAAGTTTAAAGTTAAAGTCATTCAATCGTTTAAAAATAACAAGTGGTGGTTTTGAGAGCTTACATAGAATCTGATGGTAGTAACTCATTAAGACAAATATCAATTTGTCCATGAGTCAAGTTTGTAGTGATAGATCCCATACCCCCCCAAAACAATTAATATTTCCCCTTCATTTCACCATCAGTTGCTTATTTGTGTTGGTCTATCGTACATTCCTAATAGAAGGAATCTAAAAAGAAGATCAAGGGTCTTAATATGTTTTGCATTCATTTTTAATATTTGGATTAATTATTTGTAACTGAACTACCAACATGCTGCCGCTAAATTAAGGGATTCCAGCCCCTCCATGGTAGCTGTGCTAAAACTTACACTTGGAAGCAGATGGAGTCAGATAACCTCTGTTGCTAGGCAGTAACTATGCAGCAGTCTTCTCCTTGTGTTTCCTGCTTTTTCCTCACGACTAATTTTAAGCATCTCTCATACCCTCATTCTTCTTTTTGCAAATATCAGAAGTCTTTATCGTTCTTTACAATTTCCTTCTCATCCTTTCACAAGTATGTTTAACCCTTTTTGTTCTCCTTTCTGTGCATTTCCCCCTTCTCTTTGCTTCTCTTACTGTTGGCCTGTTCCCTCTCTCTCCCTCTCCCTACTTTGAAACCTCCACCCACCACTGTGTAGTTCACCATGTGCAGAAATGTGCAGCTGTGGCTTAAGAGCTTCGTCTTCTGAGTTCTGCTGGCATAGAGTTATCTCATCAATGGTCAGCCATACCCAGTGTCTCTAAAAACTCAGGAGTATAGATTTATTTTTGCTTTTTAATGCCGTTCTTTGTTTTCCTAAAGGTTTATCATTTTTTCTAGTTCAGAAACTCATAAAGGTGTTGTGCCTGATGGACTGAGCTCGTAGAAAAACATTTTTGATAGTGCAAACTAATTGGTTGCTGCTTATAAACATAGTAGGTTAATGAATCTCTGCAGTAAAAACCTTACATACTCTGCTAACCCTTCAATACATTTCAAGAACCGGGGCATGAACACTTGCTCAGAATGTAGCATGTGACTTTAAAGTGCGGATGTCAATGTTATGCTTCCTTTGATCATATTCCTGTGGTCTGCAGCACATGTCTGATTTGCACAGTCACCAAAATTTGAGGCATAGAGTCATTATGCCGTCCCACTCAGTGTGGCATATCTAAGATCTTTTACGGTCTTTGAGGTTGGAAGCTTCTCTTTTTTCGTAGACATGATTGACTGTCCAGCAATTGCGTAACAGGAACTTGTTTTCCAAGCAGTTTTCTATTTCTCTGCTGACATCGATACTGAAACCATGAATGAGCAGCATGTCTAGGTCATGTGAGGGCTGCTTTAGCTCTGGGTAATCCTGGAGCGTTCCATTCTGTATGTGTCACTGTGTGTTTGGAGCTGTTGGAAAGTTGTTTCTGAAAGAAACAAGGCAACAGCCTGCACTTTGTATGTAAGCTTGTGGTAGTGTGGTTCTATAAAGCATCTATAAATGTTCATGGCATACAAATTGTTTCTTTATTGTTAGAGGCTGTAGTTGTGATGCAAGCCTGACTCAGTGTTTCTTAGTAAGACATATAGTACACCTGTTATGTCGACCATGCCTTGTTTAATGCTGTTTTCATCCCATACATTCATAAAGCATATGCTACATAAGAGCTATACTATCGTTTGCATTCTTTGAAGATTTATTGTAACTGTATTGGATACGATATAATATCCTAGTACATCTATTTAAATTAAATTATTATTTAAAAGTTTATCTTTTTAATCAATTCAACAATGGGACTTTTGTCCTGTGGTTGAAACTCCTTTTCAGATCAAAGTAGATTTTGCATTTTATTTGGAAATCAAGGTACCAGAGTCTAGAGGAAGGGTTGAAACAAACAGAATCTATCCCCATTAAATGTATGGTGTGATGTCATTGCACACATAGCCAATGTGATTTGGCTCTTTCTGTTCGGTTTGAATCGCCTGCTCCAAGAATGTCAGTCGGTGAAAAACGCTGTTATATCACCGTTTTTGAATAAAGGTACATCCTTATATGCTGATATTGAATTATTGTCCCACCCTACCAGATGATATGTGAGACATTGCACCTTATTTATAAAGTATAGTAATATAAAGTATATTTCCATTTGTGTTATTTTGTTATCTTTTTTTTTAACACTTTGTCAAGGCCAAAGCCCTCACTCCTCATATGGCAATATATATATATATATATATATATATATATATATATATATATATATATATATATATATATATATATAGAGCTGGAAGAAGTGGCTGGGGAGAGGGAAGTCTGGGCCTCCCTTCTTAAGCTGCTGCCCCCGCGACCCGACCTCGGATAAGCGGAGGAAGATGGATGGATGGATGGATGGATATATATATATATGGTTAATTCATTCAACAGTTTTGGCCCAAAAGAGCGAGCAAACCCATGTCATCCCCAAAAATGAGCAATGAAATCTGCTATTCCCCAAACCAGACTGCCTCCAGCATTTGGCTGCACCTGGAAATCCTGTGCATAAATATAATGAACAGGAACTGGTGGCAGGGGAAAGCCCTGCCTGAGTCCAACATGCTCTGAGAATAGGTCTACCTCCATGCTAGAAATACAGACCAAACTCCAGCTTCACTTGTGCAGCAACCGGATGGTCACTAATCCCTTACTCTTGGAGCACCCTCCCATAGGGCACAATGTGAGATACTGTAGAATGGCTTCTGCAGATCTACAAAGCACATGCTGACCATTAAGGCAAACTACCATGATTTTGCAGAGGGGTGTAGAGCTGGTTCAGCATCCCATAGCCAAGATGAAAACCACAGAGCTCCTCCTTAAGCTTAGGTTCAACAATCAGCCAGAGTCTTCCCCTTCCTGGCATAGGCCTTTCTGGAGAGAGTATGAAATGTGATCACTATATATTTTAAACACCTTCTTATTAAGAGAGACCACCACCCAAGTAAGCTAGTCCCCCACTGCCATGCAGTGTTGAAGAACCATGTCAGGCCCGATAGCCCAAAAACATCCAGAGAGCACAGGAACTCAGGCTCACATCCACCACCGAAGCCTTGCCACAACTGAGTTTTTTAACCAATTTGGTAACTTCAGCCTGGGTGATGAACATATCAGGCTCTGACCACCTAATCTCTGCTCCCACTAAGGAAAGCGTGTTAACTGGCTTAAGGAGATTGTTAAAGTATTCGTCCCACTATCTTATCGTTCTCAGTCAATGTCAGCAGCTCAGAAAATACAACTACAAGTTGATCATTTACCTCCAGCTTAGGGTGTCCTGGTGGTAAATATAATGGACATCCTTTTGAACATGATTTTCATTATGGACAAGTCCCCTGTCAGAATGAGGGAATCCCTGAGAGGGGTGCATGGGGCACCAATAAAGCCTAGTCCTCTGTACTGCCTCTCAACCCATAGGCGAGACAACATTCAGTGACCTCCCACCCCCACTTCCACCCCGAAGATGCTGCGATGCAACCCTCTTATCCAGAAAAATGAATCAACACAGTATACGGAGCAGGAGGGAGAACCCACCCAAGCCCTTTGCTTCTCCATGCGGGCTTTAGAAGCCTCTGTCAAGGCTGGGTTCTCGGGCCCAGGCTATCCATGGGGGTGAGCCAGACTATTTCTAGCCAGTATCACTCCACCTCCCGCACAGGCTTATGTGAGTAGATAGTGCCTTTGACTTTGCAACTGTCCGTTGTTATTTTAACTAATTTTTGTGTTAAAATAAATAACTAAATACTAAATGAACCGTTCAGTTATGTTTAAGTTCATCAATTTGCAGCTTTTGTTCTTGATACAAAAACAATGTGGTACAATGTGGTTGGACCTATAAACCATTTTTAACCTTTGTTTGTCGTTGTATAAATAAAATTGTCCATAGGACTGCACAAATGTATTCCCAAATATCACAAATGTATTCTGATGTAATTGTGTGCAATATAAAAGGGATATTTTGAAAAAAAACAAATCTATTCACAACAACATTCACTGACAGAGGTTCATGCTTTATTGTTAAAAAAATATAGCTCCCTTGTTTAATTAATTTCAATTCACTCAAAAAATACTTTGATTTCAATGGGGAAATAAATATGGTTTTATCTCATGGAATTTTTTTTTCAAAGGAGTTGATAGTTTTAGGCAGGAAGGATCTTCTTTTGCACCAGATCTGGAGAAGCCTCTGACTGAAGACACTCACTTCAGATGAGGATTCTAAGGGTTGTCCAGACTTGCCCATAATGTTTAACATTTAATGAATAATTCTAGAGGTTCTAGAGGAGCTAAAGCTGAACTTCATTATCAGCTTGTTGAGCTTCTGTAAGTCTTTTGCTATTGAAAATTGAAAATTTAGAGAAGATGTGTATAATCTTGCTGCAAACACTGATGGACCAGTCGTGGGGAGTCAAAGATGTTAAACTTAGCAGAAAATGTAAAAGATATGTAATGGCACGCAGGGATTGGAAAGAAAATAAGATTGCATCTTTTTTTTTTTTATTACAGGTCATTTAGTAAATGTATATATTGAAAATCGAAGTGAAAATAACTATTTTATTAAAGTTGAGAGTTAGGGGGTTTATTTATTATGAGCATGACAACAATTGCCTGTTTGGGAATCTTAATAAATAAATTTTTGACTGAACAAGAAAAATTGGAAATCCTTTTCTTTCTATGTACCAATTTAACATACTTCAATGAGCAATTATAATAGTTTCATTTAAATGGATTAAGAAGGAAAAGCATATTTTAATCCCAGTTTATTGCTTTTTTGTTTTACTTTGTTATGACACGACAATCTTTGTAGCTTTGCATATGAAATAAAAGTAACAATTTTAACTCATTAGATGTATGTTTATTTTTATTGATTTTAGTTTCTGCTTTTTCTTTTACAGTGGAGTCTGGTGTGTGACTCGGCATGGAAAGTCCATATTGCAAAATTCTCTCTGTTGGTGGGGTCAATCTTTGGATATCTTGTATTTGGGATTCTTTCTGACTGGTAAGATTTGTACACTCCGAGTGAACATTTTATTTTCAATGTAAGAGTTGATTACGTGAAAATAGTAATATTTGTCTTTTATTTAGGTTTGGAAGACACCTGGTGCTGATCATATCGGTGCTGTTTATGCTGGTGTTTGGTCTGACAGTGGCCTTCTCTGTCAATGTCCCCATGTTCAGCACCTTGCGGTTCTTTGAGGGGTTCTGTCTTGCAGGAATTAGTCTTTCACTCTATGTCCTGAGTAAGTGATTCAAAGTTCTTATTGTAATACCCCAGTGTATTTCTTGTTGGGGGTAGAGAGATCATTGTTGTCCTCAGAGCAAGAAAACTATATGGTTATATCTTGGCCAAGGTCTGTTGTGTGGAGTTTGTTTTTTTTCTTCTTGTGCATGCATGATTTTGTTGTGGTTGTCTTCCACATGCTAAAAACATTCCTATCCTGTAACTACAGTCAAGACAGGAACTGCAGCAATTTATTTATTTTCCTTTTAAACAGTGTACAATTATGTTGCTGCAATAAAATCCATATTTTAAAGGCTTTTAACATATCTTTGGTAGGGATGCTGACAAATGTGGTTGGTGCTGTAGATAATTCTAACCGAAGGAAAATAATGCAATAGGGTTCTGTTTAAAACATTCAAGAGTATCTTATCTTGATGGTAAGCCCACAAAAATGCTTTTTTGGACGATATAAAGTATTTCACATCACTGGTAATTCTCTAAATTAGCACAGCTTTACATTTTGAGTGCCACTCTTGCTTATTATAGAGATTAGATAGGGTTGCTGGCATAGCAGCAGATGTAAAAGCAGCTGCTCACATTTATGTTTTCCCCTTGCGATTAAGAATTAAAGAGAGTTCTAGCCTTTCAGAATGTATACTCTTTGTCATGAGTTATAAAACTGCATCAGTTATTATCTTTATTTGCATGTTCCTAAGTCAGCGATATAATTTAGGATTGCATTGGTTTTAGCATTGGTGGCCAATACACATTTAACATGAGTTGTGGAATGACTTTAAACTATATAGCAAATAGTAAAATTTAACTTTTTTCCGCAATAAGGTTATATAAAAAAATCAATGCAACTATATATTTTAAGAAAAGCTGTGCAAGCATATTGTATGCTTCTAATGGGCTTTAAGGGAGTATGTATCAATTGATGGATAGGTTAAAAAAAAAAGCGGATATTGCACTCAAAATGTAATAATCACACATAAAGAAAACTTGTGTAACTTTTGACCCAGGTATTAGATTGTTTGAAGGTATAGTAAATAATTTTTCAGGTCACTGAACAGCACCTGGTGCATATCAATGCTCCATGCAGGTTCCCTTCTGAAAAAACTGTCTATGTAACCTGAGCGGGTTGAAAACATCACCAAAAGACTCATGTGATCCAAAGCACACCTTTACGTCAGTCTGAGCTAACAAAGCTAAAAGTTGTTAGCTGACAAAACAAAACCCACCTGATCAGACATTGTTTCTCTGATGTAGGATCTAATCTAGAGCGGTATATGTGGCCTTGTCATTTCATGAGTTCTCAGTCTGCTGATCCAAACTGGTCTGCTGTCAGTTCAAAACATCAAGGGTGTCCTGATACAACCGATATTACAGAGAGAAGTAAGCATTGACCTCTACCGAATATCTAGATATTGACTACTTAGCTGGAGTGGATATAGAGATCCAATGCGGTGCACTTTACATGAAACTGTTATTTCTTTCTTTTTGCTGCTTATTTGTTAATAGGTGATAATAATAAATAAGTTGTATACTGCTAATTTGTCACCCTTTTTAAACACAATTTATGTCAAGGCTAAAGCCGACCCTCACATGGCACGATATATGGCTAGATGTATGTTATTGAATGGGATCAGTATCGGATATCAGCCGATAAGCTCCCCCCAGGTATCTGTAACGGTTTGGATCTGAAAAAAAAATGGAAATGTGCATCTCCACCGATATCATATTAGCGTGAATCATGCATACTTTATTGCTTATTTTGCAGTGTCGAATTTTAGAAAATGTTTGACAAAGGGATATTACTTAAACTGAGAACAAAAGTGAATAAAAATAGGTATAAGAACAACTGACCCATGTAATATAAATTAATAGGTTACAGAAAATTTAAACAATATCGGAAACTATAGATAACGGACTGATATCTGACATCGGTATCAGATTGGGACACCCCTACAGAACACAGAAGAAGTTTGATTTTGCGGCAGTGTTGTCAGAATTTACATAACACTTGCTGTGTCACTGTTTGCCATTGGTGTGGTGTGCCAGAGAAGAAGTTGTTATAAAATCTTCTGTTGTGTGTGGTAATGTTGTCTGCTGTTACTTTTGCATATTTGTATTTAAGGAAAGTTGGCTCGATGCAATATGTCCTTGATGATGTGTATGGCTCTCTTTCTGTAGCGCTTGTCTATATTGAGTGTGTGGATGGAAGGTCAGTCTGATGGATTTTTTTTCCTGTTGTTTTAAGAATTCTCAGGAGAACCTTTCTGTCTGCTTGTGTAGTGTTGCTCAACTACACAGAGATGCCTGGATGCTTTCTATCACCTTTAGGGGTTGAGTGCTCAGCCCAGCCTTCACTGAGCAGTCTGATGAAGTATATTCTCCTTTTGGCCATTCTCAATGTGACTGACCAGCTGATATATAATGATAAGAGAAGACCTAGGAACTTGTGGCTATTCACCCCTATTCAGTTCCACTGATATAGATGGGTTTTCAACATTGGGGTCCTATTGAGTAGGGTGCAGTATGGTATACTGTGCAAGTTGTCTAAGTTGCCCAGATCACTAGAATTCTCAAACTACAACTGATCCCCCATTATTTAAAAAAAATCCCTTTACATTTAACATTGGTGAGGTTGAGAAAAACCAACCAACTAAAACTGAAACATATCAGTCCAAGATCAAATTTAATAAATATGAACCAGAATTACATTAAAAATGAACTAGAGTGCAAACTGATGCCTGAAGAAAGTTGTATGTATCTCACTCTACAGCAAGCAGACTGAATCATTTTGCTAATGCTGCCTTTTATTTGCATTCCAATAAAGTAGTAACAATAGGCTATAAGGGGGAAAATATGGAAATAGTTTGTTTATATATTAGGCTATAATACTTGCAGGAGTGACAATACTTTGAGAACAAGAAAATGAAATTGAAGGAGAAAAAATTATTTGGGTTTTAAATGGGTTATTTGGGCGCTTGAAAGTATGAACTGAGTTCTTCTGAGTCTCAGCTATCTTTGTGTAATGCACAGTAGCAATATTTCATGTTGTTTTTTAGTTACTGCTGTTGGAACAGATATAGTTATCAATACATCATGGAAAATTATTTACGCATATACCTGATTTGCTCAATCGACACATACGCTCAATATAAAGATATGGACATATACTTGTTTCTTACTTGTATTTGTTATTGTTTTTGGATTAAAAAAGCCTAATTTGTAAGGTATGATAATCTTGTAACCATAAAAAAGAATTGCAGTTAAAAATTGTCTGCAGATATTAAGCCTAAATACAGAATAAAAACACATCAGAATAAAGATTTTCTTTGTTCTTGTAGTTTTAAAGAATTGGTTTGGTTTGTGACTTGGCTGCCTATGTAGGAATCAATTTTGGCCCTATTCATATTAGTTAAAGATATTAGAGTAAGGGTTTTACGTTCAAGTCATGCAATAATTATTTTTACGTCCTGTTCTTACCCAATATCCCTACACTGTTGTCATATTTTTAGCAACATGCCATGCATAATCAAAAACGATTCTGCAGTCAACCTGGACTCCTGACTTTAGCATTTAGCTCATCGACAAGTCATTTTGTTTTTGTGAACTGCTAACATTTACTAAACAGAATGCATATCATGCCTTGATTGAAACTCTTTTCATTTGAGTTGATCAGTGTGTTTAAAAGTGTCATAATATTGCTTGTTATTGCTAAACCACAATCAAATAATGATAGAATGGGCATGTTTTAGGGATGAAGTAGTAACAAAAGTTCCACTCCTAAATACAGAAACTAGCTGAGTTGTTGAGTCAGATTAACTCACTCTGTTTATATGACCTTCTCTTATGACGGAAGAGGTTTCAATGATTTATTCAACAGCACAGAAAGGGGGGAGAAGGGACTTTTTGATAGCAAACATATAATTGTTGTTGCGTTTGATGAACATTCTAGTCTCGGGCAACGGATCCTTAATAGCCTCTTTGCCTGCAGTAAATGCTCATTACACAAAGGGCAGAGTGGTGGGGGTGGGGGTGGGTTTAGGTGTTCATCAAGGCGATATGAAGAGGTATGGGGCCCCGAGAGTCCCTGTCATTCTAATTTACTCCTCACTGTATACCTTGAAAAGCTTTCACCCAAAATAGACCAACTGTTAAGCCTGCTCTCAGGATAAAGAGGCCACAGTACTGACAAAGAGGGAAAAAGATGGAGTTGAAGAGAAAGTTCAAGTGATTACGGCATCACATAAGACTACAGCTTATGGTTGAATAAGTAAACCGTTAGCAACCCAGTAGGTGACCAGCTGACATGATTACATAGACAAATCAGCTTTCAGTACTTTTAAATAAACACACTTTAGCTTAAATTACTCCTAAAAGACACAACATATTTAATGACAGTTGTTATAGATTTTTTGACTTTGCTCACAACCACATTTGTTTTTTTAGTTCATCTAGATTTATTTTCTTAACTGAAGTGTTTTTGTTCATCGCTTCGTTATATGTAGCACATTAATAGATAACTGCTTTGCTAGTTATTTAACTGCAAGGCTTAAACACACCTAATTATTAGAAGATGTCTAAAATATTTAGCAAAATCTTTACTTTTGAACTGGTTGAAATGGAACAGTACATTTCTCCAGTGGGGATGCACTGGAAAGTCCGCTGATGACCAAGTTATATTACTGCAAACTACTTGAAAGAAGTTTCAAATGAAGGTGTTTGATATGTGGTCAAAGGAAGCACAGAGGCATAAGAAGCTATTTGAGTTTTCTCTGATGTTTTCTGGCTGTGAGAGTGTTATAGAAGGAAGATAACAAGAAGACTTAATGAAGTCCAGCTCAGTTTTAATATTTTATATTTCTAAACTTTCTGCCTTTCTTTAAGGTTGTTAAAATTAGTATTTTTATAAATCTTATCTAAGTATCTGCACTGTCTTTCTCTAGCACATACATTGTCTCAAAGCCAAGCTAATCTCTCTAAATGCTCGTAAGAGATGCTTATAGCCAG